ACATAATTTAATTTATAAAATGATATATGCTTATCAGTAAATTCCTTATTGGAATTCTTGTCCGTGTCTTCCGCATTCAACATTATACTTCACCATTTAGGTTGACAATAAAGCATTATAATTGTGGTTACGAAACTAAAATAAGACTTGAGAATTTGAATTTTGAAATGTTAGAAGATTCTGACCAGCTAGCATGGCGTCCGCGACTGTGTCCAAAAATTCTCGGAAACTTGACTTCAAAGCTCTGGTCCAGCCTTTGCGCCTGTCACATTACAATTTCCTTCCCTTTGCAAACATGCATGTTCCGTTACACCCAGCTTTTCACAACCAACCATTTCGACACATAATTTCAATTTTCTCAATTTTCTTCACCACTTATGCTAAGTGGGGACACACTTGTAATTGCTCAATATTAAAAATTCAGATATAGTTTATTAATTTTCATTTTGTGGTGTTAAATTGACTGCTTAAAAATCTTTGCTTTCTATTTGGGTAGGATTGCAATGCAATGTGATATGACCATACAAAAAATAAGAGCTGCTAATCAAAGAACTTAATTGTTAAGATTTGAGAAGGGGACACCACAATGTACACATTAGTCATTGTCTTCATGATAACGAAATCATTTAATTAAATTGCTAAGAAATAGAGAGTTACCGCATTGACTAAGCTACAAAAATTGTCTGTGTCTGGCGAACTTATTCTACGTTCACTCTAGAACGACAAACACGTTTATATTTGAAGAAATCAAAGGAGTCCAATTCAGTGGCCGTCTTAGTTCGGACTTGTACTCAAGCCCAACCTCACCTAATTGATGAATTGGGCCGATCCCACCAATCACATGGCCGCTCAGTGGTCTGCTTCCATACTTGCATACTAATCTTAAATTAAGGTGCCCAGTGGCCACCGACCAGAGCAACATCCGTACACACTCAAATGTTTCACCGTTTGTTTGTTAGTACTTTTTTAGGTTTCTTTTTCACATTTACACTTCATCTAAAAATATAAATTTATAATTTATAATTAATTTAATTATATTTTTGAAAATTTTAAAAATTAAGATATCTTAACATTTTAAATATCAAAACTCTATGTAAAAAGATTAAAATACTTTACTAATTTTAATTAATATTTTATAGTATATTTTTTCATAGTAAAAGACAATTTAAAAAAAAAAAACTACAATTACATTGCACAACACTCACAAAAGAAGCCTCATACTACAGGCATAAATGTACGCAATCTTATGTAAAAATGGTTCCCCAGTGAAGAGGATTCGTGGATCTATCATGTCCGTTGGCTAAAATGAGGGAGACTTGATTGAAAGTTTATGAGCAGAGTTTCATAACTGGATTTTCGACGACAGATAAAAAGAACTAATTTGTATATGTACCACAAAAAGAAAAACACTGACCTACCTGACTATCCAAAAGCATAAATTGCAGATGGGTTGTGTTCTGGTCTCTGTACTTAAAAGGTGCACGGTATGTAGTATGGCGTTGCTTTCTTTATACATGCTAAATGTCGGTATTGCCTAGCAACTAATACCAAAATTACAATGGTCAAGCAGTCTTCCATCACATCAAATTCTTTCCAAAAGCTTGACACTAATTCTATGCTTTTTCCAAAGGAGTTGCGACGTACCTGAAAGGCAAAGTAACTCCCACTTTGAGACTATGCTCTTCCAAATGGGGAGAGTGGTGGGTTTGGCGCATATTTTGCAGGCATCTTTCCGAGTATGGGTTTACTTTCCACTCCATCACTTCTCTTCAGCTCTGACTCCTCAAAAGCTTTTTCTTTAGACAGGCTACTGACTTCGAAGAGATTGGATGATTTTTGACAGCATATAACTGACAATGAAATAAAGAAGGCCTGCAATGCAGAGATTGATGAATCAAATTCAATTGTGTATAATCCATGCTTATGTGGAGCTAAGCTGAAGATAAGCCTGCTCCGTTGAGTATCTCCCTGTACAGAAAAAAAGAAGTAATTCAGTGTCAACATTATACTAGGAGTTAAAGCCTGGGGTTTGTAGGATGCATAAAATGGTACCTGAGCAAACAGTTCAACGTGGTCAGAACTTGGGCTTGCTTGACATGTCATTTGATTCTTACAACTGCCATTCTGATTGGATAGGATACGTAACTTGCAGCCAACATCCCAACCTCCACAGTCACATGATCCACCGGACCTCCATCGGTGAATCAGTGAGGAAGGTGCTCCTTTCTTTGGCAAGCTGTGAATACCACCTGGAAGTATAACAATATTTTTAGTGCCTTCCTTTTCATCGAAATTAAAAAAGCATCCATCCTCGGGCAAAGATTCTGTTAAGACCCTCTTATTTGTATCTTTACAACTTCGCTGTACGCCATGACTTAATTCTTCCCTGGGCATTTTGACAACAACAGCTGCAAGCTCTATATTGTGAGTGTATACTTGCGAAGCTTGATTTGCTCGTCTACACTCAACACCAAACAGAACAGACTCCCTAATTAGATACTGAGTGTTGGAATCCTTCACATCTGAGATATGGGAATTAGACATTGTCATTTGACCAATAGTATCATATGCATAGCTACAACTTTTCTCCTTGCTTCCTTGACTTATCCAGCTTCCAATCTTTCTCTTAACTTCATTAACAGAGTAGAAAGTATAATTCTGACCCATGTCATCGCCCCCAGATGATGGTGAAAACTTAGTAGTGGCTGCAAGAATGTTACTGCTGTCGTTGACCACAAATTTAAACATCGGGAATCCATCCTTCAATGTAAGCTGCATAAGTGCTTGGGTTGTTGATGGATCAGGTTTTTCTTTCTTAAATGATCCAACGGCAATCATTGGGGTAAAGTCATTGGAATTCAAGCTTCCTTTCAAGGGATGAAGAATTTCAGCAAAACCAAGGGGGTTTAAGCTCTTGGGCTTCAGAAGTGGGTCTAGCATCCTCCTCAAGGGGCTAGATCTGGTTCTATTTTGAGCTTTCAACTTCTCTCTGATTGAATCATCCAAACAGCCAGAAGCATTGGCTCTCAGTGGACCAGACCTGACAGAAACATTCCTGGAGCTCAATTGCTGGACGACTGGCCCTTCCTTAAAACTGAAACTTCTACTCATCCGACTTAAGCTGAAACTAAAACGGCCATGTGGTGATTGATTACTGCCTTTCCTGTTTGCAAGTTCTGCCATCTCTTGATCCAGCATCTTCAAAGTTTCATTATTTGCATTCTCAGACTCAACCTCATTCTGTTCTGCACACTCACTTGGTGAGAGCTTATTGCCTTTGTTTTGTGAATTGAAAAATGAAAGCTCCAAACCCTCTGCTCTCATGTCTGGTGCAGGTCCCCAGTCAACCCTGGAAGGTAGTTCACAGAAGGAAGGAATCTCAGAGTGTGGTTTCTCAGACTTCTGAGTGAAGTCATCAGGAGACTTTGCTTCCATCAAATTCTCATCTGGTGACTCTGGAGGCTCCACCAGGGGGCTATCTTGATCAGATCTTTTGGGTAGAAGAAGAACTATACTCTTGAGCTCACCAGGCAGATGATGAGGATCATCATTTTCTAAATCCTGCAACTCTTTCTTCTTCTCTTCAAGTTGCTTACTTGTCGCAGATAGACCATGCCCAAGATCAATTGCTGAGTCCTGCAACTGTTTCTCCCTCACTTTAGGTTGCTTACTTTTATCAGAAAGACCATACCCTGGAAAGGTGCGAGGAAGGGCCCCTGACTTGGCACCAGATTTCCGTGATAAAGAACTGCTACTTTTGTTGTCAGTTTCTGAGTCCAGCAACTCTTTCTTTATCAACTCAAGTTGCCTTCTTTTATTAGCTAGAGCACCCCCAGGAACTGTGCTAGGAAGGGAAAACGACTTGGTGGTGGTTTTCAAAGATAAGGAGTTGCTTTTAGGAGATACATTATTGCCCCCTCTCAATGGACTGCCCTTGTGGTTGTGCTTCCATTTTTGTAGATTTCCCCAGTCCAAGACTCCAACATTTAATGCCTTCTCTTGGATGTTTTCCTGTTTCTCAACATGCTGTAGGTAACCTGGCAACTTTGACATATGCTTCACAAGCTCATCATCCTTTGTTGCTGTTCTCTTGACACGGTGCTCCTGGCAATCCCCTGAAGATTTTGCTGTTCTCTGAGAAACACGATTCTGTAAATTTCGCCTATTTCCTTGGGAGAGTTGAACCGGTTCCTTCACTCTCTTTGAGTTTTGCTGCTTTTTTAAAGCATTTCTTGCCTCTAAACTTCCCATATTCCTGGCAGGTTCTGGTTGAAAGCATTCATTGCTTGTTCTTCGATTGGATGGCATCAATTAGATTTTGTCGTGCTGCAAGGGTACAAAGAAAGAGCAATGCACACTATTCTTCAACCCTGGTGTCTTGTATGGTTCATATAGGTGCAAGTCCTAATACTGTGGAAAAGAAGTCCCAAATATTCAAATAAAGAAATCAAAAAGAAAAAGTTAAAAACAGCAAGGAGAAGGATTTAAATAGGAATTCCAATACAGCATGCAGTAACCATGGTAAGAAATTCTTCATAAAAGTGAAAAAAGACAAAGAAGAAGAAACTTTTGCCTCATGCACACAACCCCTTAAACCACTGTCAGGAGAAGCTATTACTAATTTAATTGAAACAACCTGCTATGTGAGTCTGAGTCACTTTCAAACCACATCCAACATATTCATCATTGTAAATATCACACTTGATTGACAAATTCTCATAATAAGTCCCTACTAAGACCTAAAATTTATACACAGGAGTTCCCCCGCAACCTAATTCAACAAAACCTCACACTAATCATCTGGAATCAATCACGTTGATCCTAGACTATCATCATCTGTCTACCAAGGTTCTATAGCAAGAGAACAAATAAAATCAAATGATCTCGGGCAGAAAATGAAAAGTTACATCACAAAATAACAGTGAAGGTAAGATCAGAAATCGTATGTTCAAAAGGAACATGTTTATATCATATTTTCAGCACAGAGAATGAAAAATTGAATCTCCTCAGGTATAATTTTTCTTTCCTTCCACACAAAACTGAATCACTAATTCCAAAAACCAGCACCTAGTTAGTTGAACTATAGGTCTGATATAGTTTCTCTTTTAGCCTCTCTCAGTCGTTAATCCAATGATCCACTTGCTCGCTCCAATTTTTTTCCCAATATTTTAACAGAATCAGTCATAAAATGTATGTGCAAATAGAAGAATCCCACAGATCTTATACAAAGCTTAACTAGAAAAATATCAGATTCAATAATCAGTATCCATTGGAGACCGAAGAACAGAAAATAAGGGGAAATGCAAGATAATATAGGAAATGGAATTTGCATTTTCTGCTCCATGATAAAACAAAAAAGAGCAAAAAATACTGGTTTTGCCATAACTCATAAGTAGCTCAAAGAAAATGCATAAATAAAATTATTTTCCTCTCGATTCTCAGAAACAAAAAATGAAGCATTAATTAATGATAGTGAAATTTACGAAGCAAAAATTTTTTTAATAATAAAAAAAAAAAGCTCATCCGAACGACATGATCCAGGATCATCACCAAGTTTCTAATTCAAGAAAAGAAAGCGTACCGCCAGCGAGAAACCGAGAGAATGCAGGTTCAGGACGGCGACATTTATCAAGAACTCCCGGATCCCGACGAAAGATCCGATATAGAATCAACGGAACTCGGCGAAAATCCCGAACTGCCGACGTAGATTATAAGCAAAGAATTACCGCCGCAGAAATCAAGAAAAAATCCGCATTAAATCCGAGAGTTTCTTGATAAACGGAAATCCGCAGCGAAAAAATGCGATTTGTTTGCTTCAGAATCCGGAGAAAGAAAGGGAAACAGAAACAGTCAGTGAACTGAGCAGAGGAAAGAAAATGCAGCTGAGCTGTGTGTATTTATGCAGGCGAGTCAGTGAGTGTTTGTGTGAGAGTAGCGTTATGGTTTTTCGATCAGACGGTTAGAGGCGAGTAAGTAGGCAAAGGGGCGGGGATTCAGCAGTTTTAGGCCCATAGGCCATAGGGGATGACTTATTTACATTTCGTGTGCAGCGAATCCCGATGCACATTTTTTTGGACCCCACGCGGTCTGCCTCAGCGGCTCCGCTGGTACCTGATTTATGGGAGCCAGGAGGTGCACCGATTAAATGAGTAGAAAATTCGTATCCCTATTTCATAAATTTCCTTCGCTTGGGTTATAGATTTGTGCACTGTCTTAAAAGTTCATCTTACAACCCATTTTTTATTTAAGATTTTATTTAGAAAGAACTAAAATTTTTTAATTGAATTAATAAATTATTAATAAAAATTTATTTTAATTATGCAACTATTTTTAATTCTCCGGGAGATTTGCCTATATGATACTAAAATGAGGAATTATTTTAGGGATGTTTTGGTTTAGTGTTTTGTGAACAGTAATATTTTTATTTTGTACATCTATAAAAAGGAGTAACGTTTTTTTTTTAATTCTTTTTCATTCAATTTAAATTTTGTATATGAAAATTTTAATTTAAAATATCATATTTTTAAACGGTTGAATCATTTTTAAAATATTGTTAACTGCTATATTAATTATTGGCTAAGAGTAATATCAAAACAATTAATGCAAACACTCCCTTAATAATTACTAAATACCAAAAAATTAAATGATACAATAAGTGATAAAGAAAAAAGAGAATAATGGGCATCAATAAAAAATTTAGATGGACCCATTAGCGAGTGGTTGAGTTGGTTGGGACTCTTCTAGTTTAATCAGAGCTCTTGAGTTCAAACCCTGTGAATGCAGTTCCGTTCAAACTCATGAGGGAGAGTTTTGCCGCCCATTGAGTTCTACCCGACTCGAATCCGGATTAGTCAGTGGCCCAATGAGCTTCTGGATATCAGATAGTCGTACCAAAAAATAAATATAAAAAATTAGATTGAACAATATTTTAAAATTATATTATTTTAATAAATACTGTAAAAAATATTAAAATAACTTCATTTTTATTTTAAAAATAAAGATATTTTGATTTTTTTTAATAAAATTTTATTCAAATAACATAAATTTAAGGCATTTTTCTGCTTAATTTTGTATAATACACATTAATAACTATTTTTCTAAAAAAAAAAAATACTCTGTTCATCTCCCTTTAGTTGTTTAGTTTCTATAAATGGATTTTCTTATTTAGTTTTCATAGTTTCCAAAATTGAATGTTTTTATTTAATTATCCATTTCCGTTTTGACTAATGAATTAGATATTTTTTCAACTTTACTTTTATTGCAATTTCATGATAACTTTTTTAACAAAACTTAATAATTATTTTAAATATCCTTATTAATTGAGTCCCATCAAGGGTACATATAAAATTTTAATTTATAATAATTGTATTTTTTTTTAACATTTTTACCATGGAACTGATAGAACCGTTGCCCTTTGGAGAGGGAGAAATGAACCTTCAAGTGTGGCTAACGCCACTTGGCCCATAGGCTAAGTTCTATAATAATTTTATTTTTAATGAAATTTGATATATATGTATATATATTTAATAAGTATAATAAGAAAAAGTGTCACAACGAAGGGAATTTTTTCCCCTTTTTATCAAAACCCTTGTATGCAATCTAAGTTCTAATACGACTAAAAATGTTCTTGAACCACTTGAAATTGAATTTGCTTTGAAAATAATTAAGTTTTGATCTGTCATATTCAGTATCTGTGATTGAGATAATTAACTTTTAAAATTAATTGGGGTAAAAGCTGTAATACTCACGTTGACAACCTACACAAAAACAGTGTGTAGACCCGTTCACATGCATGAATTACAAGTCCAATTAGTCAACATTTCCCACTTTGCGTAACAATCTTTTTCATACGGCCGAAAACGTAGAAAAACAAAACATGCATTAAAGTTTCAACAAAGGACGACTGGTGACCACAGACCATATCTACCTTTCTCGGCCTTAATTTTGGCTGACATCAAGTAACCCATAATTCCATACAAAATGTGATAGAATTTCATAAAGCAAAAGCAGCTATGAGAATAAGATCGACCCTACTGCTGAAACAACAAAGTTTAGGAATTAATTTCTAGAACTTCTATTTTTCAGGTACGTCCTTTGCTTTTTTCTGAATCTTGTCGTAATTCCTATCTTCACACGAATTCTTCCCCCTTTTCTTTTTATTAATTTCTAAAATTTTATATAAACTTTTTATGATTGTTTCTTTATATAAAATTATAATCAGGCCAAGCATTCTCTATTTGTATTATAATTTCATTTCACGCAACATTACTTACTAAGGAAAATACTAGTTGTGGCATCTGGGCTCGCGGGCTAACCACTGCAAGTTGAGTTGAAAAGTGTATCTCATTAACATTAATTGGAGTTTGAATCTCCCGTTTGTAAAAATATAAATCCGTTAAAAAAAAAAAAAAAACTAGTAATGAGTAAAGCCAGCACCCAAGTCTTAATTGGTTAGAATAGAAAAAATGTGTAAATAAAAATGTTAATTATATATATATTTATTTAAGTAGGTAAATTTTGTTAGTTTTTAAATAAGAATATCAATTTTTAGTTTTTTTTTAATTTAAAGATGTTAATATTCAATATTTCAATTAAAAAATTCATTTATCACGTTATCATTATCATTCAATTAATTCTTAAATAAAAAAAATTAAAAGTTGATATTTTTAAATAAAAAATATTAAAAATTAACATTATTGAATGAAAAAAACTAAAAATTAATATTTTA